ATTTGTTACACAAGTATACTCAGTGTTTACACTGTCAAATTTTCCGCTCCTGTACACAAGTTAGAAATGTGTTTAATATTCACAAAATGTTTGGTATACAACATAAAAGATGCATATACTGATTAAATCCATCGTATTGCGAAAGATCTTGTTTGCTTCTTTATTTGTTCTCCTTGTATCTAACTTGCATAGAATAATACGGTAGAAAAAGTATATTTCCTACTGAGAAACTGTGTCTACGAACATAATGATAATTTAATCGGCGGTACTATGACGTCACCTTGGTCTCGTGACTGTCCGTACAGCAGTATCTTCCCGAGCAGCACGGCCGCTATTCCGAAATCCGCCGTCCGCGAGGACGTCACACTCATATGAAATACCATTGCCAATATTAGTTACTGTCTCTGTATAAGTGACATCGAGCATTCTTTGACAAAAACGCATTTGAACAGTATAAACATTGTATGACATTTCAGGTTGTATCTGTGGTTCATGTAGTGTAGGTATTATTGTTGGGATACTTACAACTTTGATGGTTACTACTATAATATATGTTGTTATTAGTTATGTATTACATAAACGTCGATGGAACGAAGAAAAAGGACGATCTGTGAGTTACATAAATATTTCATTTTCAATATGAAACATTGAAAATCATTCTCCTCGGCATTATTACTGATTGATATAATTTTAACATATTATTTTCAACAGGATTCCGTAGAAGATCGCGTGTATACTGGACTTTCAGAAAGCACGAGGGAAAAAGACCATACCTATGAAATACCAGAGAAAAAGGTAAATTAAATTAAATTACTGTCACAACAAGTTGAACACCCTATTACTTGATACTAGTAAGATATTATAGAAATGTTGACCCAGCCATTGTTGATACAGATTTGTCGACCCAAAGATATAGCATTGTTGAACATGGCGAAGCCGAGCCAATATGTATATTCACCGAGGCTGGTGTCAATATCTGTATTATGGTGAATAAAAGACTCATATTGTAACGCTGTATTATAATATATCTCCTGCCCAAGTTTTCAATTGCAACATCTAGAATTTTCTCCATTCCCAAGTAGCTGTTTCACCACACTTGCAATTGTTTGTATGTATTTATATTACATACATTTGTGTAGGCATCAACTAGCTATGGGCAACTGTTCGACTTTACAGAGGTCGCGATATTTACACATGACATGCGCGCACATAAACATAGCACACTGCTCTGGGGTCATTCAGACCTTAATAAAGCGCAATATAATACATTTTCCTTTGAATGAACAGTTCAGGTTAATGAAACCCACGTGTAATTTCGTGTTCTGAGAATACGCCGACAAACCATAACGGTGAATTAGCATTTTGTAGTTCAATCATTACGTCTATGAAGGGCGGAAGCCTAATTAATGTTTTTGACGTCTGAAAAATATGAAAATATCTCGACCGTCAAATGCAAAAATCTGATTGGCCATTGGAAATAAAATTATACTGTACTATAATATTGCTTATATTGTATTCTTATGTCATTTATTTACTTATATATTGACAGGATGTTGACAAAGATGGGGTTTATACATCACACGACCCTGCTACTAGAGAAAAAGAATCCGAATACGAGACTCCACTACCAAGACCAAATAAGGTCTAATTATATATCTTATTGTTATTATAAGTAGTGCTATACTATTCCGTCACACACTGTGCATTTAAATCCGGTGAATGACCAACCTACTATTCAATTTACAAATAATATACTAGTACCAATGTTGAAGTAGTCCTTCTAAACTATTTGATTTTGATTTTAACACTCGCAGTTATATATCTGCTACATTATTTAATCAGAGTGACCTAGACATATTACTGATTAGCTAGTTGGATGACAGTTGTAATACTAGTTATAATAAAATTGTTTAATTTAATCTATACGCATAACACATATGTTAGCAATTAAAAATACATTGTAATAAACATCAATTGCAGTTTGTGTTGACTCGTGCTTGATTAGTATAAAATATACATGTCTCCTTCTTATTCTCTCACTTTTTACTACTTTTCTACGGGCGATGGGATACGAATCCAGCATCCCATTCACATTCTGGCAATTGCTTATACAATCCATGACTAGATTTCTATTTAAATGATGCAAATTAAGACACGTGAAAACATACAATTATACACATGAAGTGAAAATATAGTCATTACATATTGCCAAATTGTAGAATGCACAGACGACATGAACAAATTAGAATGTATAACATATATTATCATCATCTAAATACCAGCACATCCATTCATCGAATCGTAACTCGTACAGCTTCCGACTGTTTAAACACGCGAGTATATTCTATGATTATTCCCAAAGTGCATGATATTAACTGGATGACGGTATTTTACTCGCACAGAGTCTGAGTTGTATACATCTAATTGTCATCGATTGCCAGTTCAATGTTGGGTACCCTTCGTATTGACCTTCTATATATCGTAGGAATTGAAAAAAACCCGCAAATTATAGCTAACTGTCTCCGCCTTGAATTGCACATATGTAATTAGGCAAAGAAATGTTGCGTTACTGAAAATATGAAGTATGTTAATAAGTAGGCATTTGAATAGCGTCATGTATTGATAAAATATAACAAATGCGCCTTAAGTACACAGAAAGGTCTCAATGACAATAAGTCTGTTTAAAAAATGGCTTTTTTTGACATCACATGATATGATGATATTTGCATATCAAAGGTATTGAAGATATCGGACATGGGCCCTGGTTTCAAGTCTCTACTTCAAGCATAAATGTTCTTTCTAACCTGTGTTGTATATCCTATCCCATAGTATTTATTGTTCATTTATTATTGGTATAGTAGCACTTATTTTCGAAATAATGACTTGAGAAAAACTTGCTAACATTATTAAAAATATTTCGCATTGTTCGA